GTCATTTGAAGACTTCGACAATCGTTGCCGTTCGTTCCAATTTACAAGGTAATCCTTTGAAGCAGATACGAGAGGAGTCGTAGTATTCTTGCGAATGAGTGTATAAGATATAACAAGTAGCAGTACAGCGGCAAATGCCGTGATAAAGGTAGTCCAAGCCCTAGACATCACAAATTGTTAGCTCAGAGATCGGTCTTGTAGTTGTGCTGTTTAGACGCTAAGCTCTCATTCTGCCTACCCTGTTTGTTAGTACTGGGTCGAGTACATCAGGTCGAGGCTAATTGCAAGGTTTATTATTTTATTTTTTTTGTTTTCTAATACAAACTTGGTTTCTTTCTGTGAGTTTCTAGCCTGGTTCTCTATGGCTTTCCCGTACTTTTGAAATTTCACTACGAAGGTGTGGAAACGAATGAGGAAAGAATAACGATATAGCCAATTAAGGCGGCGCACCCCTTGACAAGAATGCTGAAGATCAGTTTTCCGGAGGGGGTGAGAGAGTCCCGCTATATTTAGGCAACGTGTAGCCGTACCCTCCCCCGTTACTCCTTGAAGGGGGAGGGAGGGGTACAGCTACACGCAGGCTACGCCATTTTTCGCTTGCGAACCATACTCAGGGTAACTCAGACTGCATTTGATCACGGGCTGTTTTATCTCGCGCACAGTAGGCACAGCCTACTCTGCGTGTCAGGGGTCTAAAGATCATTATCATAAGCGTAGGCGTGTGCCGTAAAAAAAAATAATAATAATAATAAATAAAAAAAAGAGAGAGAAAGAAAAATAATATAAAAGTTGAAGAAAAAAATGGATAGTAAAAGCGAGAATTATAACGTGTAGGTATCCTTACCTTTATTCCACAGCCGTGTTATCACTTATAATCATCTAAGGAGGCTATCGTATGCATCTGTAATAATATTATGGTGCGAAAGAAGAATACCAGAAAGAGCCTCTAAGAATATGTTGAATCTTCAAGTTTGAACTGGACTACTGACAACAAAGCACAAGGTTTACATTTTATGATAGGAATTAAAAAGCCTTTGAATGGGAAACGTAACTGGACAAGAAAACTCGCCCTCCGTTACGTAGCACTGAAAGGAAAGGCTGCAAAGGAGACTATTGGGCATAAAAACCCGTTAAACATTACTTCTAAATGTCAGATTCCTTTGATCTCTTACTAACCTAATCACAGTATTTCCATATATAACATCGTGCCATTTTATAACAAAACTTCCTTTAATGATTGACAAGATCATTCCCATGTAAAATAATAGTCAAATGTAATAAAAAAAATTCCTCTGTTTTCCATCAAAAAAGGTAACTTCATGCATTTTTCAACAGCATCGACTGTTCTCAGCTCCCTATTTTGCAAAGTTCATTGCACGGAACACTTTAAATGAAAAACACATTGACTTTCTGGGGGTAACAGTCGTTCCTTCGCTCCTTAGCATCTATCCTGTAGTAATTTTGCATCCTTTGGGCTCAAGCTAAGAAATAAAGGAAGCTGAGAGTAACTTACGGGAATGAGCTGCTCTTGAACTCAAAAATGACTGCCTCTATGATTTCACTCGTGAGACGAAACTAGATCTCTGTTCTTCAATATAGGAATTCCGCCTGATTATAAAAGTTTCAAATCACCACCTTCTCGTAAATACGAGGACGGTTGTTCTTTCGGGGGAAGCTCAATCTCGCCTATAATTTCTTGACATGGCTTATGAGAACTTTTTAAAATTGGCATTTCATACCCGACGCTAATCAGATCAGCGAGCCAAGCTTCTGTCAAGAAGGCGTCATCAGTCTTCCAAAAGCCCTCTTGAACCATTGCTATGCTCAGATCTAAAACTCTGCTGAAGAAATCGTTTTCGTCAGATCTCCATTTAACCAGAAATTCTACCAAGCGCCCAGCATCATGGTAGAGCAGTTTCTCTTCGATAAAATCAACAAGATAATTGTGAGCATTTCGAAACTGAACAGCGTTTGGTGGGAAAAACGACAGCTGCGATCCAACATCCCATAGCAACCGCTGTGCCCAGTAACCACGCCAGATATCACAGACTCGAAATGATACGGTGATTGGCAACAACATGCCCCATAAGGCTTTGTTAAAAAACAGCGTGTTTTGTGAGTTGAATGGAGCCATCGTGTTTGGAGGAAGAACAACAGGTGGTGCGTCAGCATCAAACTCTACTTTCAAGTCTACACCTTTGTCTTTTCTTGTTAAACGAAATATGGCGTCCACATCCGGGTCACCATTTACTACGCCCTGTTGTATGGATGTGTCCGCCCCTCTGCATTTGAGGAAGTTGTGTGATGAGCGATCAGCAATGCGTTCCAATGGGTACCCTCTTGGCCAAATAGTAGTCTGTCCAAAGTGTTCATAAGGATTTACCACCGTAGAATCAGTTTTGTATACATAGAAATCACCGGTTTCCAGCTGATGGTGGAAAGCAATATCTCCACTTGCTGGCGAGTTGTCATCATCTGTTTCATAAATGATTTTTGCTCCATGTTGGATGGCATACAGATAGCCGATGTTTTTACGACCATAACTGTTATAGGGCAGCAAATCATGAATGCGATACCCTAGAGTCTTTTGTTTTTCAATGCTGAGGAAAACACAATTGGGATAACTGTAAAGATAGAAAAAAGAAACGTCACAGTCAACTGAGTGGAGAAAGAAGTCAAGGATTGCTTCCAGTTCGCTTTACTCTGGTCTGTAATTGGTCTAGAAAACTCACTCCATGCATCTAACCAATCAGACGCCAAAGTAAAACCAACGGTGACTTGATCGTGGGTGTTACTAAACTGCCAATCAGCAAACCGCGGAACTCCCGGAACCTGCTGAACCCCATACTTTTTTTGTGAAAAAAAAGAAGTCAAATAAATTAAAAACAAAAAGACCTTGATGCTTATTGAAAGTTCGTTTCCAGCTAAAAAGAAGATAACTTCAGGAGGGAAATATATATGTTTTTATCTACCTTGACGTCCAACCACAGGATGCCCAAGCTCCTACAGTCAACCTCGATCTGTGAATATGCAAATATGTTCACGTTGCGCAACGGGTGAAATGCAAGGGTTTGCATGGAAATAAACAGTTGCGCTCTTCATTTTTTTTTTTAAACAGAAAATTAATGGTTCTGCAGGTTCCGCGGTCTGCTCATCCACACTTTAGTAACATCCCTTAGTCGCCTGCGTTTTCCCAGTGTTTTGGTTGTTTGCCTGTTTTTACCTCGAGTCCTTTTGAGTCCTCATTGACTACTGATGACGAAACTTTGCTATGATTGGTTGTTGTGATTATTTTTATTTGGTTTTGATTTAAAGAAATTCAATTGAAAACTGCTCTACATCAGTAAATCAATGTGGGATTAATTGAATGAATTGAAATTCAACTATATTTAATCAATCTTACAGACTGTCACACAACCCCGAAGAAACAGAGGGGAATAAAATGAGTTTTTCTGCCCAAGACAAAGGAAACTCATCGGTAGAAAGAAGAAAAGGGCTGATACAGTTCATAAAGAAATCAAGAGTTTTTTTTTGTACAAGAAAAATATACGGATTTTGATAACAAAAAAATATATTAACAAAACAAGAAAGTTATGATTTCCACAAAACATGTAAAATCATCATTCATCACTTAGATGGTTTATTTGGACCCAACACAGTGACCAGCTCCCAGTTGGCTTGTTAGCTTAGTTGGTAGAGCGCTGCACCAGTATCGCAGAGGTCCTGGGTTCAAATCCCGTACAGGCCTGAATTTTTTTCAGGTCCAATTTTTGACTACTAGTTCAATAGTGTTCTTAGTTGCGAGGATCTCTAAATTTCGAAACAAAATCCTATTTGAACAACAAACTCCGATTTTATCACGAAAAACACCATTTTTTTCCTAAGTCTTTTTAGCTTTAGAGACACCTGTTAACTCTGTTGTTGTTGTTGTTTAAAATTGTAATATGCAAATCTTAAAATGAACAGATCATCCAAGTAACAAAATATTAACAACATACCTCCAATCCGTAGGTGTTTTTGTGTCACCGACTACTACAACCCTCCAGCCTTTCATACCCGCTAACTTCTTTACATCTGCTGTGGGTGGGTTTACAGTGGTAAGAACAATCCACTTCTCGTGCATTTCATCTTCAGGGGGCCGAGATCTCCGTGGTATATTATTCCAGGTAAAATCCACCGTCCGCTGTCGCAATTTTTTGTCACTTTTAAACGTCTGGGGATTGGAAAACTTTCCCGACACTGAGCTATGAACAATAACAGTTTCCTTTACGAAGAAAAGCCGATATAAAAAGAATAGAACAAAAAGTTGCAGTGAAATCCCTAGAAAATGGTATTTATTAAGCATTTTCATGGGCAAGTATAAGTGACTAGATCTCTGTCTTTCTCTGCACCGGCAAAGAGAGTCGATCTAATTTGCATTACTAAAGAGATTTAACGACATTCAGTCCACTTTGTGAAAAACCTCAGAACATTCTTTTCGAGTCGCTTGCAAAAAACCATGGAAACGATTCCTGTTGAGTCACTTGTAATTGGTTTACTTGCGAATAAGGGTTGGTTTGGCTATACAGAACACTGAAATTGTTCACGGAGCGCTTGCGAAAAGCCTTATCAAACTTTCGATGGCCGTCGAAATCACAGTGTGTGTCGATTCCCTTCTTTAATTCATGGCTCGAGAACAAGCCACAAATCATGGAAGAGCGCCTTCAAGAAAAGAAAAGGAGTATTTCGGAACGGATAAATTGATTTTGGAACATTTATCAGCGATTCGTAACAAGAATAATTTTTAAATAGTACTCGTTCCTATGGTGACGGTTTGACAAAGAGCTTGTAAGGAAGATTTCCAACGGAGGTAACGAAGAAAGAAGCAAGACTTTGAAACGTCAACAGTGTTTTCTTTTTCTTTTTTCTTTTTTCCTTCTCCTTATTTCCGTACTTTGTGAACTCTAACTTTAAAATCGGAAGAACATCAGCCATGCTAATAAATCAAATAAATTACACCCTTTAGAAAACCAAATGTTTAATTTCCTTTAACAGTTGATGGTGTTTTAGCCTCCTGTTTAATTCCTTGCTGCGAATTACTTCTAAAACACTACTGTTGCAAATTTTTTTTCATAGCTAACATTGAAATACTGAATTACGTATGGGAGAGTGATGATTTACTGGACTGCAACAAGGACAAATTACGGCGCTACAATTAAAACCATTTGTCGCTCATCATTCTCCGTGTTTTGAGTCCCTCGCTGATTAGGCCTGGTAGGTGGTTGAGGATACGGAGCCTCCATGCCCAGTCCAGTTGGTGTGCACAAAATGACCGGGTTTGCTTAGCAACTCGTAAGTATGGGCACCAAAATAGTCACGTTGCGCCTGCGATAACAAATAAACACGAACTTCTTTACAATCAGCGGAATTACAACGCAAGCGGAAATGAGAGAGAATTTTGACGATTTCCTATCGCCATGGATGTACGAGAGTCCTTGTGGCATTAAATTTCTTTAGTTTTAACCACTGGAGTGTGTAGGGTTTGATGATTCTAACGTTTGATCTCAGTTATCGAACTTTTTACTAGCATTGTTTTTCGTTTTTCTTTAATCAGTGAGTCTACTTGAGTGATCTTGTTCAAAATAGTATGTGTTTGTTGCTTGCGTTACAAAGTCGTAAAAATAAAATGCTATTAGCACAGAATTTAGCCTTTACCTGAATAAGATTGGCTGGAAGGCGGGCCGATCTGCAAACAGAATGAAAACATAAAAACATTTATCTGTGGATTTTCTTATTCTGTTCCTAAATATTTATGCATTTCACTGATTTAAATCTAAGAGGAGTAACGTTTCATTTAGCAAGGGTGATCACTTAAGTTAACTTCACATCATCTTTATAATTCATAAGAATAGAAATTAAGTTACCTATAGCCATCGTAAAAGGCAAGTGCTGTGCTGAATGCTGGAGTAGGTATCCCAAGAGTCACAGCAGCAGCAACCACTTTTCGCCAAGAATCCTACAAAAATGAAAGAAATGCAATCAAGAAAACTAGCTACAGAAAAAACCACATCACCTTGATCACATCTCTTGCCACGCTTCACATATTCGAGTTATAACATTCAAATACATCAAATTTGAAATTTGATTTTTCAAACATTTGTTTTAAGTCTTTATTCGAACGATGGCAACGTTTAAAATGGGGCGTCGAAATAAATTCGTTAATGTGACAGTTTTGCTTAAGTAAGAGCAAATGAGCTCTAGGACTGCTTTAAAATGCTGTCGCCAACTTCTCAACCAATCAGATGGAACTTTTTTCACTCTCGCTTTCATGCACTCAAGGCCGGTTACGAGTTTCAACGGAAAGATTTCATTGGCTCTTTCGAAAATGTCCTTCTTTCGGATTGGCTGTCAAAGGAATATTTAAAAATGAAGCTGTGCATGGCTTACCTGGCAATTGTGAATGGCATCTTTGAAGAAATCGTCTAACAACAGATTCTGAAGAGAAGGATTCTTGATAAATGCATCCTTGATGTTACCCAGGAAAACACTGCAAATAAACGAAAGAGAGAGAATTTGAAAAGGTTGTGAACAGTGACAAGGTAAAATGGGAGATTTCTTAGTACCACTAGTTGAGAAGGAAGTAACATCAACATGAACGATAAGCTTCTTTAAAAGGTTTACCAGCCGATTGCACTTTAGAGAACGTGAAGCTCTACGATAATCTTACTCCGCAAATCCAACAACTCCTGGCGGATACAAAAAAAAAAAAATTCAAATTCGTGATGGTTTCAGGTTTTGTTGGTGTAAGAGCTTTACCATCTATCTATGGCAAACCGAAGACTCCCGCCCCATCCAGTTCAAAACCTTTGACGACCTCGAAGGATTTGCTTGACAAGAGAGCCTTCCCCCACGCTAATTACTCTGAAGGTTGCAACTGAATAATGTAATTTAATTGTTGTCTCTATGATGGCTGACGAGACACCTTTTCAATCTCTCCTCTCTTTTAATCACTTGAATGATAGTTTGCTCCTTATACTTTAAGTTCTCATCAGCTCTTTGTAATATTCCCTTTGCTCTGATGGGATACGATACTCAATCGAAATGCGCTCTAAGTAGTTATAACAAATCTTTTGCCAATGCCGAATGTTCAGAAAAAGACAAGGATATCAAAAGTAATCAATTTACCCGCAGAGACTCATAAACAAGAACACACCGCCGGATTTACCTCCTTATGATGCAGCCTCCCCTCCACATGAGAGCAATACCGCCATAATTCAATGTCCAATTAAACTCTTTGGCTGCCTCCCTCATCAACATGAAGCCCTGAGCATAGGACACAATCTTCGATGCATACAGAGCCTGTTCAATGGATTTAAATAAATTCATTACAATCAGAAATTAGATTATTTTTCACTTAAGTTGCTGAACCTTGCTAAGGTGTACTAAGTTTTGAGTGAATAAAATGTAAAGTGTGTGGTTGTGGCTGACTCTTGCGCAAAGGAAAGTATCTGCTTGTATTTGTATATCGTACATACAAAATATTAACTTCATGCCTTATGTGTTGTTATTTCTGGCCGGGAGCTATCCTTCCATATCCCTCTCTTCAGGTCATGTTACTATACTATGAGTCACTTAACTCTTTGACTCTTAAGAGCGACTAGCATCTAATTTTATCCTTACAGTATTAGAGAATACTCAAAATTATCAGGTGGAAGTTTTTATCTTGATCTAATATCAAATTATTGTAACTTATTTAGGGGGAAATGTGTAGCAGCAAGAGAGAAGAATTGGCAATCAGATCTTGGGAATTAATGGGTTAAGCTTACACCTCAGAACAACCCATCTGTCTTTAAGCTGTGGTTCACTTGTTATTAATTTACCTTTCTAATATGTTCAATAAATTCCTTTTTATCTCCTGTATACTTTGAGGTAGCAGGTCCTTTGAGATGTGAACTGGCTTCAACACGCTCTGCCTGTAGCGAGGAGAGGCAACGAGCAAACACAGACTCACCTATGGTACACACAGAGAAAACACTTCTTTAAAATAGGTGAAACACTGAATAAATTAAATTTGAAATAACTTATTATTACCAATGAGAGTGACTGGCATTCCATATTCTAAGGCTGAAATTGCTGTCCATTTGCCAGTTCCTTTCTGAATAAATAAAGAATTATTGTTAGTCACCATGATCAGATATTCTAGTCACATATTCACATCTAATAGCTACAAAAGTACCAAAACAATATCACTTTACCTGGCCAGCAGAATCTCTAATTTTTTCAACCAGAGGTGAGCCGTCAGAATCCTTGTAGGCAAGAATGTCTTTGGTAATTTCAATCAAGAATGAGTCTAGCTCTCCCTTATTCCAATCCACAAAGACCTGTCATGCAAACAGCACATGTTAATAATTGTTGTGGCTTCATTGTGTGGTTTGTTTTCTAATATATAGAAAATCTTTATCTATCTCTTCAACAGTTGTTGACTACTTATTCGTGAATCCTTGTGACTGACATCTAATTTCTCCTTACATTATCAACTCTGAATCACATATTGAGGTCACAAGAATGATTAAAAGGAAATGATCACATACTGAAGAAGCTCTGGATTGCCGGTTTAAGAAATTCTTCTCATCGGTATGTTGGGAAATGTATGGAGACCAGTATGGAGAATATGATTACTGATATTATGGTGTAAAAGGTTGACATAAGGTGATGTACAAACCTTGCTCATTTCATCTGTTGACATGCCAAGGGCATTCTTCATGAGGTGATAGGCTTCACAGATCAGCTTCAGATTACAAAAAGCAAACAAAAAAGAATGAATAAATAATACAAAGCTTTTAAATGTTGACAATAAGCAAATCAAAGGGGTAGAATAATGGATCAAGACATCCTAACCTAGAGGGAATATTGAAAGCTTCAAAAGGGTTTTGCAGACCACAGACTAAGTCAAGGTTACAAATAAAGCAAGTGTTCTATTACATGAAATACAACCAAACCCCAAAGTTGTATGTGGTTACTTGCAACACTTTTCCAACCATAATGGTTTCTACTGGAGGCAATTTCTTGACCTTTTAGAAAATTAGTTGCTCACTTAAGGGGGTCAATTGTTAAAAATTGTCACTCTGAGTGAATCAAGAGTAGAAACCAGAGCCCAACTAAATAGCTCCTGATAAAATATCATTGGGATATGGAGCAATATTGTGAAAAAAAAGTACACATGAGATAAAATACAATTATGTTCATAAAAATACGAATCCATGCGATCCAAAATCTACACACCTAAATGACAAAGATAATAATTTTCACATACCTGCATATCTCCATATTCAATACCATTGTGAACCATTTTGACAAAGTGACCAGCACCATCTCCTCCAACCTGAAAGAATGAAAACACACAAAAAACCATTTTTTTACCCCATTTTTTGGTGGGTTGATCAGACAAGTAATTCAATCTGTTATCTTACAGCTGTAGTGCCTTAGAGAACTTTTACATAGCCACATCTAAACACAAGGGGCTTGGAAAAAATCAGGACAATCCAACTGTTAAATAAAGTTAAGGTTTATGCAATATAAAAATACAAAAACACATCAAGATAATCTTGTATCATGTAACTCAAAAGCAGTAAAATCCAAATGTTTCCCTTACCCAGTCACAGCATGGCTCAGATCCAACTTTAGCAGCTATTGACTGAAAGATTGGTTTGATGTGTGCCCTAATGAACACAAAAGAAAACAGTAGACAGTTAATATTCTTAGGACAATATATCCAAACACACATATAGTCATCAGGTTGATCAGCTTTATGTGGCTTAGTAACAACCTTGGGCCATAGGAAGATGAGTTAAAATGCTGCATATCTTGACAAAATAACAAATTAAAATGTGCCATCACATTTATAGATCATAGTAATAATTACTGCTGCCAATACAATGTAATCTGCTTTAAAGAATGGAGGAGGAAAATTCAGGTGTTATGACTTACTATCAAATCTAAGAACAGCAGAATTGATATGCCTTCTACCCCAGCATTCTATCAGGTTTCCTGTAAGGTTTGCATGTACTCGCGGTTTACCCCTAAATTTTAGGGTTGTCTAGAGCATCTAGTCAGACCTGACTCAGGGCTGACAAACAGAAGTCATGCTACTCATTGAGCATCTAATAACTGGCATACAGAAGGGCCTCTATAACCAACTTATGCAAACACTATCAGGAGAATTGTTGGCAAGAAAAGAAAATTGAAGGGAACTAATGAATCATGATATTTTGAGTTATAAAATTGCTCTTCAAATGATGTAAAGTAGTTAAGGTTATAACTACAATATTGCTTCCTGGTGTAAAAGGACGTCAAATAGGGTAGAATAGGCAAGGGATGGAGAAGAATGACATGAATCATATAAATTATATCACAAACTTGAAAAATGTAGTCTCTCAAAATGCACCACTTTGTTGAAGCTAGGCGGGTAAATTTCTAAAAAAATTGTGGTTCTTTGTCTCCAGGGGGGATATTACATGATAATTTATTTTTTACAACTGAGTCAATAATGTAAATTAGCCACTGTAAAGAGTATCTAGAGCTGATGTTGCAAGTGTTAGCCCTTTGTCACAGCATGATGGAGCTACTTTTGTGCAATGTGAAAGTCTCTAGCAAATGAGACATAACATGTTTGATCAGTTCATTTCAAATATTGTGCACAACATACCATGCTGCATCTGATCCTCCTGGCATAAGAGAAGGACCATAACGGGCACCATCTTCACCACCACTCACTCCACTCCCAACAAACAACAATTTTTTGGATTCTAGCTCCTTGCAGCGTCTCTGTTTTTCAAATAGTTTTGAAAAGTAAGACCAGTTTTTGTCTATGCTAATGATTGATATCCCCCAACAATTTATGTTTGATGCATATAAAACATCATAGCCTCTATATGGCCCAAAAATACATTCATACATTTTCCTTCCACGAAGCTTGTACTTTTCCCTAACCTAAGCCCTCAGAAAGTGTGCCATTTTTAAAACAGGTAAAATGCTGCTAAGAACCTTTTTTCCAATAAATGAAGGTCACTGAATTTATATTCAGTCCATTTTTTTTGGTCTGTTGAACAACACTTACAATTGAATCTCTGTATTCAGAGTTTCCTCCATCAATGATAATGTCACCTGGCTCCAGAAGTGGAACCTATTCAGATAGAAGTAGATGTCATGATGTGAATTTCTGTTGTATAATATTTGCAGTAGCATTCCTGCCTCAATGGAGTGACTAACTTCATGCTGTTTTGATGAAAACAATTAAAGGAAAATGAACCTTTATATAAAAAAAACTATCAACTCTTAAACTCCCATGAGTGACCAAGACAGAATTTCTCCTTACAATATCAATACAATATCAAACAAATAAGTGATGAGAATAAAGAAAAATATCTATTTGTGGATAATTAGTTGATCCAATAATTAATTCTCTGAACTAACATTATGAGAATTGTATGGTTGACAGTGAGGAGAATGACAAATTTGATCTGGAGTTAAAGGGTTAAAATCAAACCCTTGGTGATGAAAAGAAAAAAAGACAAAATTGACAAAAAAACCCTTTTATCTCGTGTATTTTCACAATCATGAAGAAATTATAAGAAAATCAACTAGTCTTGGATTATTGCTCAGCTGAACTTACCAGCTGTGCAATGAAATCATCCACAGCAGAACCAGCTTTAACCAGCATCATGACCCGTCTTGGTTTCTTCAACTTGGATACCATATCTTCCATTGACTTGGCACCGATGACTTTCGTACCTGGAGAGTATGGTGTGTGCAAATGAAAGTTGTTTAGAAGCAAGTCTAATCCCACAGGATTTGTTATGGGACACAAGGGAATGAATTCAAATAAAAGAAATTTTCAAGGCAGATACAACAGGAGGTTCTGCAGGTGTGGGTCAGTCAATTTTAAGGGGAAGGGTAAAGTCTGTACCTGAGCCAAGTGGTGTTATCTTAGTTTCTGTTGCATGAAGCAACTAGAAGTACTACTTCTCCCCCTGGATGGGATACCTGTCTGCCACAAGGTTCACCATTTTCATCGCACTTACCCTAAAGTTTGCTGGCAAAAATAAAGTACAATGACCAGGCGAGGTCTTGAACCTGGACCTATTGACCCAGAGTCCAGCAAACTTATCATATTATTAAGCCTCGGCATCTCCTAAAAATTTCTGGATGCATCCTTGATATCTAATATCCTACCAAATTGAATATCTACAATTGATAGAGGTACTAGTTTCCACTTAACTATACTTAAATGAAATGTTTAAGTTATATGCATGCATGCATAAGAAAAAAAAAAGCAATAACATTCAACAAATGAGGTTCTGGTGAACTTTCTTTTCCATAAGGTACACCAACCCACAAATGTAGCTGTCTGATACATGCCTGATGTCTGCATCAAGTGAGTGCCATATGATTGTAAAATGCACTTTGGTCTGAATTTCACTGGCACATAAGAAATCTTTGTTGAAGGCATCTGCCTATTGAAATCAATGTTTTTGAAAGATTATGTCTACATCAAATCATTACCTTTAGCTTCATTTGCTAAAAATCTGTCAACTTTTTCAACAGTTCTGTTAAAGGCACAGACCTTAAAAAAAAAGAAAATAAATAAAATATCAATCTTCCATGAGTATAATTCAAAGTAAAATGATGTTACTTGTTTGTGGAAAAGAAAATAACCTTACTTCAAATTGTTAAAAAATCTTTTTTGTTTGGTTATTGTTTATCAAGAAACACATTTATGGATTCAAAATAGTTCATAAATTAATTAAAGTTTGTCTTCTTTTTGCCAATTAACAAATTTAAAATAAACAAGGATGACTTCCAAGAAACAAAATGATACTAGACAAGGAGTGATCCAAATTGAAATAAACTTGGAGAAAGAAAGGAAATGTTTTTCAAGTTAACCCTTAAGAATTAAGTAAGCTTTAATCTTCATTAATTCTCCATCCTTGCCTGTTTTAATTTCATACATTTAAGTTCTCCTACCTGATTGCAAATATTTACAAACTGAGAATAGAATCATTGAGAAGAATTCAGAGTTTTACTTTCAATCATCTATTTTTTGATGTAAATGCTTAACATCCTTGTTTATTTGGCAGCTTTTTGTGAATGTTTGTTGACCTCTGTGAGTCATAGGTAATGAAATTGTCTAATGTTGCATGATGTCCACCCTTTAAGATTGACAAAGCACGTCATGGTTTTCACTCAATACTTATAAATAGTACCAAGACTTTCTATGTAACAGGAAAAAATTCCCTAAGGGTTTGTAGATAGAAAATTAAAAGAGGCATTCTGTTTAGGCTTCCAAGTGAAGAGAATATTGGTGACTGTATTTTGTATCATTTCAAATTCATAGAGAGCCCTGTAATCTATATGCAAAAACAAACTGCCCCAAAAAGTTCCTAAACATAATATGCCAATATACAATGGTACCTAAATTTGACTACTTTGCATAGACAAGATCTATTGTGTTTATATAGTTAAAACTGATCAAGTCTGAGGGAATGGTCACTGACTTGCTTTCAATTAGCCATACAGGGAAAATACAGTTAAGGAGTTATCAAGTTCTTCTATTCATATCATTGAATATCATTATCTATCATTATCTATTAATATCACTGAATGAATTTTAGTTTGATATGTAACAAGAAGAAACCACAAAATGTCAAATTACCAAACAAATAATTTTCACTATGTCATTTTGCAAAGCCTCCTTGTCTGCAAATATTCAATTCAACTAGGTGTAAAATATTGGACTTAACACAGGAAAAAAAACAATGGCTCGAAAGTGTGCCATTGATTGCTATCATGTGATTGGCTATCTATATATCTTTCCAACTGATGTTGATATTAAGGGAAACCACAGGTCAAAGAGTCAGACTGCCTTGTTCTTTTCATTGCAACATGACGTAAAGCTAAGTTGAACAAGGAAAAAAGCAATGATAGTGATGTGTAACCAGTGAAGCGAGAATGATCTGTTTTTCTAAAATGGAAGATTTTGAACTAAAAGTTTACTTGAAACTCCTGCAAATACGAGCAAGACATACCTACATAACTCCAAAACATCGAAAGAATAAATGTTTAGCGCTTAGCGTAAATATTATAATAAATTACAAAGACTAAGAACAAAGAAAAAATAATTATTAAAAGCACACGAATAAATTGATGTCATGCAATCCTAAATTGTCAAAACTCACTTAAACTTGAGCAGTCATAAACTTTTAGCAAATTAAGAAGTAAAACTTACCACAAATCCATGATCGTTCATGTTTAGGATCAGGTTTTGACCCTAAAAGATAAGAAGAAAATCTCAGAGTTCAACTAGCTGTGTCGAAATTTGCACAATCATGCTTGGCCAAAATATTGACCAAGACAACTTCAGAATCTATAATTTTACTTACCATAACAGCCAAACCGATCAAAGCTATGTCTGCCCTGCGATGCAAATGAGAAGAGAGAACAGAAAGACGTTGAGAATTTTGACAATGTCTTAACATTTTGCAACTTTGGGCTAGACTCTTCGAACTCAGAGCTCCACGTCGAGCGAATGGAATGCCATTTTAGTACGAGATGATAGTTATTGAAGATCACGGGCTCATAACACGATTAGTTTACAGTGATGTCGAAACTTTTCGTCGGGAATAACGAGTAAAGAAACAGAAATATTCACTCACTTTTGTTCAGCCATGTTTCTTTACAGTGATTACCAGGCGCTTGAGACTAGGATGTGCACAGCAAGTGCTGAAAAGGGTGGTTACATCACATCAATATTTATTAACCTGGAGGTATTTAATGACCGCGTTACACCAATCAAATTCTTTTAGACTGTAGCTTGTGCAACGAAGCGGGAAAATATCAACTGAGTAGTTTTACCCTGACTTCTAGTGTAGGATCAAGTTTGAATAAGACTTCTGCCTCGTTTGAACAAGAATATCAGAAAATTACGCTGGTTATAAGTTAAACATTGTACTGTACATTAGAACAACTGATGATTTTTAATACATGTGAGATGCATGTGAAGTAAGTCATAATTCTCTTATCTCGTGCCGATCACCACCAGCTAATGTTTCTTCTGGATATGACCAGGTATCGTTTCATTTACTATGTTACCTATCTTTGCAGCACATAATTATTACCCATACCTCTTAAAGAGATCTCTTTGAAATTATAAGGAAGAGAAAAGAAGGAAAATATTTTATATCACCCTGATTTTTGTGATACTCAGGAAAATTGTCTGTTTTTTTAAATGCTTTTAAAAATGTTAAATCCTTGTCTCTCTCTTTTTCAAAATTTCTCTCTTCCTTTGATTCCTTTCTTTTTCCATCCTCTTTATTTTCCCCGTTTAGTGTCGTCCGACCGACCCAAATTTTTGATATTTTCAAAATAAAAAGAAAAAAGTAACGACGTAGTTAAACAATTTTTCACTTTAAATCATTCTTCAAATCTGAAAAATGAGCATAGCAACAGTTCAGAGAAAAACAGGAAAAAAAACAGGAACATTTTTTACAGTATATTGTGCATTTTGTTAATCCAAGTACGTAAATATTAACTTTTATCGTCATCCTCGATGTTAATCCACTGAGATATTAATGATAACTTTAAACGTCATCCTCATCGCCATGGCATGTCGCATAGGAGTTTCGGTGGTTGATCAATTTTCCCACGTTGTCTTTATAATACATTAACACCTACCAACGTTTCCGCCATATTGATTTTGGGTTCATGTCTTGTTGTTTCCAGGCTCCACAGCAATGATGCTGGGGTACCAGGCCTCCTATTCAGAGACTTCTTTCGTTTTTTCGGTTTTTTTTTCAATCTGACCGACCGACCCAATATCAGAAAACGCATTCGACGCTAAACGGAAAAAAAGGGGATGGCCTTTTTTTTCAGTCGGAGCATCACGTTTTCCTTGATCTCTAACAGTTCTCTCCGTACCCACCTGTAACAACTATAATAAAACGTTCTAAGAGTCAAGGAATGCAAGAGAATAAAAGGCCGGCGCCGGGTGATCGCACTTTACCATCGAGGAAATCGAAGACAAACAATATGACGTTTATCACTAACAACACGAAAGTACCGCACATGCAACTCTGGAAGGTAACGATCAAACATAGCTAAGAGAGCGCGCATCACTAACGTAACCATCAACCACAGAATCCACAGAATGAACAAAGATCACATCACTAATCTAACAGGCAAATATGAAACAAAAACAGAACACATCACTGCCATTACGACAGGAGAAACAAAGGGAGCTTGCATCACCACCGTTTCAATCAAGCAAGGCACAAAGTTGACGATCAAACACAAAGGAAGTGCACACCACCACCGTAACGACAGCAGACTGCACAACACTCATTTAACAGTTAAACATGATTCAAAAAGTGCGCTACATTAATATGCCAACACAAATCATAGAGTGTGCTACACAACCAAGGGTGATACTGAAAGCGCGCGGAACCAACGTAACAATCAAACACAATACAAACAGAACACGCAACACTTACGAAACATTCAAACGAAACAAAGATAGCGCGCGACACTGACGTAAATCGAGCAAAAGAGAATCAAATGCAAAACAAAGAGAGCGCGCGACACTAACGTAACAATCAAACACAATACAAACAGAACACGCAACACTTACAAAACATTCAAACGAACAAAGATAGCGCGCGACACTGACGTAAGTTGAGTAAAAAGAGAATCAGATGCAAAACAAAGAGAGCGCTCGACACTAACTTAAAACAATCAAAAGAGAATCAAATGCAAGACGAGTGCGAGATACTTAAGTAACAAGCAAACAGGAACAAAGAGAGCGCGCGACACTTTAGTGACAGGGAAGTGAAAACAGAGGAAGCTCGCGACATTAAAGTAACAAGAAAACAAACAAAAACAAAACAAAACAAAACAAAACAAACAAAAAAACAAACAAAACTAAAAAAAAAAAAAAAAGAAGGCGCACACTAACCCTTTAAATCCTAAATGTGACCAGCATCTAATTTCTTCTTACAGCAATACTTCTGAACTAATCATTAAGATCATGAGAATAAAGGAAATAATCGCCAATCTCGGATGCTTTGATTGTTGGACAAATTCTCCTCGTTAAGCCTTAAGATATGTCCAGAGAAGTGTATGGGGAATATGGATTCTAATGTTACCGTGCACAAGGTTCTGACAAAATAAATATTTTTTTCTTCGGCCATGAGTAAAACAAGTTATTCTTCGGAACTATTTCTTATTGAATGTTGTACGTTCGTTGAGCAAACAGCACCATGTTAAAAATCCATTTACGAAAAAAGATGCCGGACTCCAAACTCGGTAAAAATATATGTATTAAACTTGTTAAATAAACCACAACATTTGGTTGAAACAAAATCTTCCGAACTTCCTAAAATCCCAAACAAAAGGGTAATAAATTTTTCGCGAACGAAAGATCAGAACGACTTATATCAACCCCGTGAAATAAACAGCAAAGTACGCGTAAAACGTCCATGTCAGTTTTCAATGTCAAGGTTACGGCTCTTTGACGTGATCAGCTAATTTGTGAAATCACGCGCCCCGCGCGCGAATACAAAAATAATAGAAAGAGGGGAGAGGAAGAGGAAGAGATAAATTGTAATTTAAAAGTCAAAAACAAAATAGATTTTCTACAAGTATCACCATTTTCTGTTTCTACTTCAATACAATTGTTACTGCATGTTACGGACTGATAAACATAAGACTGTTGACGGATAAGTTCCTTGTGAGCTACCGAAAAAAGTACAAGGGGAAGCCCTCCAGTGAATCACAGCTAATCCTGTGAACTGACCAAGGGTAAACAGGCGATTTAAATTTAGTATCCAATCAAGGTCTTCTGTTTATTTAGACTTCAGAGCAAACTGAAAACCATCAATTGGATTCTAAAAGCATTAATTATGTATATAATCAAATTCTTGATTTTATGACTTTTATTGTATCTGCTGTTGAAGTAGCAAATAATCATTGTGCTGGTCAATGAAAACTTGTTAGATACCCGTGATTGGACACCTAAGCCATTCTTTGCTTCTGTAACAGGTTAATGGGTTTCTATCAATTTGTTTACCAAATATATGCAAATAACATAGCAGTTTCCACTGCAGAAGCTTCCACAGATGAAGACAGGACCCCCAGCTGAAGAACTCAGGAGTAATTTCAAAATGGACCTCACACTTAAAATGTTTCTGAATATTTTTCCAGTCTCTTCCACAATTAAATCCTTACTCTAAGTGTCTGCCCTTCTTTCATTGTCATGTCCTTAAAAGCTTGTAATTAAATGTCTTCTGTCAAAATACCACCTGTGCTTTAGTGTGGTTCTTCCACGATTGGATCTGCCTGGTTGCTGACATCTTCAATCACAGTCTTGTGTTTAATAGCTGGCTTGGTTGAAAATCCATTGTTGTCATGTGCAGGTAAAACATATTCAATTGCTGGAACTTCTTGTGAAAGTAGATGATCAACCATAGCAATGTCTTTGCTGCGTCGCTCTACATCTTCAGCCTTTGTCCAAGACATGTCTGCTTCAAGCCGATAGGCTCCCAAGGCCTCATGTGGACAGCTTGAGCCCCATTCCTGTGGTAAAAAAAAGAAAAAAAAACTTGTAATGATCAATTATGAATGTTTTTTTAATTCTTACCACATTTTGATATTATTTGTGATCTACTACTGAACAGATGCACAACAACATGAAATCAATTTGTTTACCCTTTAACTCCCAGTTCAGAGAATCTTGTGTTGGATCAACTAAGTATCCCAAAGGGGATATTTCTCTTTATTCTTATCACTTATCTGGTTGACATTGTATTAATGTTGTAAGGAGAAATTCTGTCTTGGTCACTAATGGGAGTTAGGGGTTGATAGAACCTGCATTTTGATTGGTTCTTAATTCTGATCTATTCGAGGATATATGTATCACAGATAACATCATCATTAATAATTTTCTTTTCCTAAATCATATCAACAAATAGCTTCCATTTGCCATGTCTCTATTCAGTAACAAATCACAGAAAGCTTAAATGTGTGGTAAGAGCATCAGCCATACACTCCACTGTTTCATGTGAGTCACTTACTATTTTTCACCAAATTTTTATGTCATTTGTGATCTTACACTGAACAGATCAATGGCAACATAGAGTCAGTTAATCAAATATTTAATGTGGAATAATCCACAATCACCTACAGTTTATGATATACTTGCTACATACCTAAGATATCAGTGCTTTCCTCAACATATTGATCAATAACCCTTTACACCCTACCCACAGTATGCATATTCTCCATACTGTTCCCTATACATTTCTTGTGGTTCTGACAAGGAGAATTTGTTAACAATCAAGAGCTTCTTTATCAGATGATCATTTCCTTTTACTCTTGTGACCGGACTTTTGATTCAGGAGCAATGTTGTCAGGACAAATTATATAATAAGCTCAGTTATGCACACATTCTGATTGGTTCTCACTTATGATCTATTGGAGGACAGACATATAGTTGATGTCATCATTAAAACTTTTTTTCTGTATATTTTAATTCTTTATTATACAAAACAAATAGATTCCAAGTTGCCGTGTGTCTGTTTAGTAATAGATCACAGAGGACAACAAAATGTGATAAGAACATCAGTGACACACTCTGCTGTGCCTTGTGTGCCACTTTTTGTTCTTACCACATTTTGACATCCTCTGTGATCTATTACTGAACAGACACATGGCAACTTGGAATCTATTTGTTAATTAGACCCTAGTCACTCCTTGGTGTCAAAGGGTTAAGCAATCTTCAATAATTCCCTAATTTGCCATAGGAAAGGTGGGGTGAGGAACAAATGGCTTTCACTGCAACTCAAGACAAGACAGCACAGTGAACAAGATTGTTTGACCTCTGACAGAGAGATTGGATATAACTACTCCACAAATATGCAGGAAACAGCTGACCAGCACTCTCTTAAGTGCAACCTTGCCTACACTAGCTTTGGGTTCATGGAAAAAAATTCTTAGAGTTGTGGTTGGATAATCTAGTGCCAGAAAAATTCAGAATTGAAATTTAATTCACAAGAATGTCTATACTTTAGTTATGTTTTCCTACACATAATCCTTTGAGAGTGTAAAATAGTCTTGTTACCTTTGGTGATAGAATGGAGAAGTATGTTGTTCCATTACTTCGTCTATACAAGTAATACATTTGGCCTGGTCTTTTCTTGAAGTTACAAGCAGCATGGTGAAGTTCTGCATCCCTTTTTGTTTCTTCTAAAACTTTCCTTGCCTGAAAAAAAGGTTTAGCACATTTTTTACTGTTTGATTGAGGGAATCCATGAAAAAAAAATTCCATACAAGCACAACTGCATTTTGTTTTTGTTTCAATGAAGCATCCAGAAATACTACTCTTAACATCACACATTACTCTTTGATAACTGTATCTTGGAAACAATAGTTAAAATAATAATGCTTAGCTTGAGGTGAAAAAAAAATCATCAAAATTGGCCCTCAAAAGTCTTCCATATCTTAGTGATTGTACACTAACAATGTAGACATTCTATAACAATAGCAACAACGTAAAACTCATTTGGTGCAAAATAAAGTTTGTAGGGAGTAGGAAAGAGGAGGGGGAATAAAAGAACTAAAGAAAAGCATGAACCATACATGTCACTAAGGATTTATGGTCATTACATACTTTTGATTACTAGTAACATGTTTAAAGAGATATCCCCTGCTAAGTTTGTTGAAAAATCTAGAAGACAAATAGAAAATAAATTCCAAAATGTAAGTCTGTAGAAACCTTACTTGTTCCTGAAGATGACGGATCTGCTCTGCAATCAATATCAGTTTATTACTTGCAGCACACCTGACAAACTGATCTGCTTTTTGTACTTCTTGGGCTAACACCACCAAGTCATATGGATCACCATGTCTGTGAACACGGTCAGGGTTTACAAGCTGCTTGGTAGCTGCTGACTCAGGGTCATCAACAGTATGGGGAGTGAGTGCTGACAATACAAATGTTTGAGTGATCAGTACTAAATGTGCCAAAAAATACAGGGCTTTCACACCCAGGGTGGATCAAAACAGAATTTTGCTTTACAGTTCCAATACAGTTTTGAGCAGAAGGTTGATGAGAAGTTTGATGAGAATAGAGAAAGTTATCTATTCACAGATATTGTTTGATTTAACACCAAATTCAGGGAGAAAGGGCTAAGAAATAATAGGAAGGTAGATCATTGTAAATGTTATGTTGTTTCGTCAGATTGGATACAAGAACCTGTTCTGTAAAAATATCTCAAGCATTTTGCAAAGTTTGCAAACCTAATGGCACAATCTGAATATGAAGTCAATTCACAGATATAAACCTGTTATTAAAAACTTGGGAATAGCTGTGATAAACATTTCTTTGATGGTTTTTCAATAATTGCATAATTAGCACTTATGATAAAATGAGGTTAAAGTTAGTGGCTAAAGATGGCCGACAAGCTAGCAGTTTTAGCTTGTCACTAACTCTTATAACTGTGAAAATATGTTGGGTTTTGAACAATTTTTTTCTCCAGAGGTGAACAGAGTTGTGAGAATAAAATGATGAAACCAGTTGGTACAATCTCTACAATTATACTCAAAAAAAAAAAAAGGAAAAAAGGGTGCAAATCTTTCACCTTAAGGCATAAACCACAGTATCACTGGTAAGGGAGAAGTGTATCTACTATTTTGGTTCTTTTTTTCTAGTAAACACATGTTGTCTGATTAGGTCCCCTCTGAAGGGCATATATTAGAATATTCCATCTCACTGAGGAAGATGACAAATGATTACATGTGATGTCTGATTAAGGCCAAAATAAATATGAGATGTTTAAATTTATGAATTTGTGAACCAGTGTGAGGTATAATTTGCCCCCTGAAATGTACGATGTAATCAATGAATTTTTTCTTCCATTTTGTGAAAACCTTAAGATTTCCTGAAACCTCACACACAAGGAAAGAAATTTGAACTTCTCCCTTCTAACCTTTCGACACACGAAATACTGTTTTAAGTATACATCAAGCCTGAATTTTTCTAAAAATTCATGAGTAAAACAGGATTAGTACTCGTCTTCGCTATCCTCACAGAGATGAAAAACACACGGTCCCTGTGCTGATTCCAGAGGGATGGTTTATCTGGTTATCAGAAACTCGCGTAAAAACAATTTACTCTGTACACGGACTGTATATTTTGTCTCTTAAGGTACCCCTAATCTTACTTACACAATGTGAATGAAATAAAATGTTACGTCACAGGTTTTTGACCCTAGATTTTTAAGCATCACTTAGGCTTAAAACAATTGTCACATTGTACATGGCTCCTGGTTTGTGTTAAAAAAACAAAAACTGTCCACTGTTTTCCGAACAAATACAGTGGCTTTTGGTGAATCTTTTTTGTAAGTGTTACGATGACACCAAATACAAACATGATTTCGAAAACTTTACTTCCCGGAAATGTCAAGGCCCCAATACGTTTGTAATTTCCGTTAAAATACTCACCCAACACTGCAGGATCATCCATAGCAAGGAAATACTCCAATAAAACGCTAAAAAACGTCTAAATGATGCCACAACCCAACTGAAGGATAGGAGACTTCGGCTTCTTTCTTACGCAATGAAGACTTCAGTGATTTTCCTTACACTCTAGGAAGCTGGGCTCTAATCACCGCTGTACAATTGTGGCACATAATATTTGTGGTGTAGCCGTCATATAGTAGATTAACAAATTTTACCGTGTTTCCTCGAATAGTTGCCCACGCCAGAAAAAGTGCCCTCCCCCGAATAAACACCTACCCTTTTGGCCAAAATGTCAAAAAGGCGCCTCCCTCGAATAAGCGTTCCTCCCCTTTCCCTCACTTTCTCAAATTAGTCGGAAAACCTGTTTCTATTGCCAATTTATTAATAACATTTTAAACTTCAACTAAAACTGAGTCTGTTCAGAAAAGTAGTTTCTTTGCCGTTTACTCGCTTCCACCTATTCCTTGAGTGTGTAATCTGTTCCCTTAACTTTTGTCCTATTGCCGCGCTCTTGGTAAATGTTGTCAACTTCCCAGGCACAACTAAGACAATTCTCTAGCCCTCGGGACCAGTAGTTTCTACGATTATGAAGTTATCGGGACGCGCTTGAAGAAAGCAGTCGATAAGGAATGATGGCTCAATCACAATGTGACCAACAAGCTTTTCAAAACAAAACTGTCAATGCCATGCACATGCTTCACTTTGTAAGTTCCGATTGCGTTGTCTTCATACTTCTTGGCTTATTCCCTGACGTCAACTATATACCCTGACGTTGGTGTTACTTAGCGCTCACAAATAGAAGACTTTATCGTTACATCGCTTATGTTGGGGCCCAAAGGCACAAGGGGGGTGGGAGACACATGTCACCCCACATGCTACGGTGTTTGACCTGCTTTCTAAAACAGGGACACATTTTGAACATAATGGTCTTAAATCGTGTATGGTTTTCAATGGCATCATCATACTGTGTTAGTGATGCATCAGTATCTCATGTTTTTACGGGTAAAAAGGGTGCGCGAAAGGGTTAACAACGAAGAGTGAGTAGCATCACTTTAGAGAATTAACTCACTGATTAAGACGCTTCTGTGCATCAATTCTTTATTTAAAAATCTATTGTACCCTAAACTTGAGCTTGTCTATGAAAAACATGTAACTCTGACTATTAAGGGCGGATCCAGAGGGGAGGGGAGAAAGAAACTTTGCTTTTGGAAATACTATAGCCGAAATAAGCTTAGAAATATTTCCAGTAAAGCAAATCTTAAATACTTCATATTGGGTCGTAACGTGAATACTCACGTAAAAAAAACCTGCGCGGATATGATAAGGAAGGTGGGGGATTCGTACCCCATACCTCCCCCCTCCCACCAACCTGGATCTGCCAATGTAATCGCAAGTTAAAATATGGTATTAACATGAAAATTTACTGACATGTAACCAATAATGGTTTCACACACTACTCAAACTGCACCTTTAAAGCGTTTCGATGCCATGGGAACAAACTGCAAACACCCGAACAAAATGATTAGGACGTAATTTAAGGACTACATTTTTGTACAGACACGCTTGCTCAGAAGCTGATTATAAAATCAGTTGGTAACTGCATTTTGGCAGCTTTTATTCTAGCTAAACTAATTGTAATTTCATCAAATTATATCATTGGTAATATTCAATAGAGCTTCATTTCCAAATCCGAGTACTATTTGAGAAAAGATTCCTCATTTAATTAAATCAGTGTAATTCAAGTCTAACTGCATTATTGGGTGAACTGCATTCAATTTACAATATAAAATACCTGCTATCTACATGTCTATACCAGCCCGTCAATTTGTGTATATTTAACATGCAATCATGTTTCCTTTAATTCTCAGAAGTGATTAACATGCAACTTCTCCCTATAATATCCATATATTATCCATCAAACATGTTAATGAGAATACTCAAACTTATCAGCTAGAAATTGTAATCTTGATCTAACACCAAATTCTCGTATCTAATTTACAAAGAAATATCTAGTAGCTAGAGAGGAGAATTAACAATCAGATCTTGGATTTTTAACGGTTAATAAAAATGGTAGCTCGTAATTCGTGGAAAAAATGTTATTGATCATATATATAACTAAAAATACTGCCATCAATGCAAAGATAAAAGCAGAGCAAAAAAAAAATTGGAAAAAAGATTGTATTCGTCCTCATGTACGTTAACATGGTTACAATCTCAAACATAACAGTGGAGAGAGCTGGGAAGGGTTCCTCAGTTTCACAGAAATGTGCACCTGCAATCTATGAAGGTCATAATTTCCCAGATTTGCAGATATCGATTTCATTACCCATGTTGTTCCAGCGCCAAGCCAAAAAAATAATTTCTAGTCTGTAAAAGCACGTCTGCAGTTACTACGCACGACACGCAATACAACTCCATTAATGACAAGAAGGATTGCATGACGAACTAGTAATGGAAAGTGACATGACATTGCGGTCGAGCTACAAGTATTCAAATAGGTATAAATTACTCATCACTGACGATCACTTGTATAAAAATTGCGCTGATTTTCTTCTTTAAAACTACACATTTGCCATCTTTCTAGGAGCCAGAGGAGGCGGAGTTCCATCACCGTCCTGAGAAGAAAATCATTCAGATCAACAGAGAAATTGAAACACACGTATGAAAGAGATATCACGATGATGTCAGCAAGAATGTAAACAAAGGGAAGAAATAAAATATATGAAGTTGGATTTTGCCTGTCGCGAGTTTCAGGCAGAGAAAAAAAGCTAAAATCATTTTCTTTGTCTTTAGGAGCTTCTGCGAATTCACAAGTTATGCGAAGTTAAATTTTGCCGATTGACGCTTTTTTTGTACTTTGTGGAACCCAATTATTGTCGTTCAAGATTAACATAAGTTTTTCTCAGAACTTACTCGTGCAGCTTTCTGTTAAAGCAAATGAACATTCACAAGGGAGGACATGTAAAATTCTCAACTTTCATTAGCTGTACGGTCACGGTGCACTTCTCTATGAAAGTATTTCAAAGAGTGCTATTAAATCTTAGAACTTCACTTCCTTAAAGGACTGAAACAAAGGTAAATGAGCACCTAGGCCTTGGACACCGATTGCTCCCTTAGCTAACATGTTAATAGCGTGGCAAATTTTCAAGAGTTTAACTGATACTGACGGTCAATCAGTATCTGGGAGATAGACAAGGTTGAATTGATCCTGTGAAAATTCATGCCTATCCCCGTGAATCCTCTACAAGCGACCTCTTTCTAGTAATTTTCAGTAAGATATCTTACTCATTCAATATCTACCCATGCGTCACTTACTCGAGGGGGAAGTTTCGGAGACGTATTGCATTGAGCACCTTCGCCGGGAAGTCTATAACAACAATAAAATTATGTCAATGAGTGACCAACAACGAAGTTAGAAAGAATTAATGCTAATTTTAACACTTCTTTGTTTTAATCATTGTATTTTTTTAAAATAACACTGACTGTAATATTAGTAGTACTTGAAAGAGGCAGAAGAGGAACACTGATTTATATGAAGTAAAATAAACACAGAAGTCAATTATAAGCCATCTGATATGAGACTGACAACTAGTTCAATTTAACCCTTTGACTCCTGAAACTGACCAGCATCTAATTTCTCCGAACAGTATCACCCATGCATCACACATTAAGGTCAAGAGAATAAAGGAGATGATTATTGCCAACTAAAGAAGCTCTTGATTGTTACATAAATTCTCCTTGTCAGCACCTTAGGAAATATACAGAGAACAGTATGAAGAATATGCATACTGATCTAAGGGTGTAAGGGGTTACAGAACATTCAAAATGATACGCCTTTCCACGAAAATGCGGTCTACATAAGCGATTTGTCTCGCACTTAAGTTGCGTTGTTGATCGAAAGTAACAACGTCGTAGGACGCAAAAATGTTATATCAGGTAATGCAGTAATTCCATACATCTATCTCAGTAAAAGAAAACAGAAAAATAATCTAAGAGGAAATTGAAGCAGAAATCCCTTGACCAGGAAAACCACGATTTGTTGCGGTATTATAGCCACTTAGTTGAGAAAGAGGTGCAAGTTACAATCAACCAGTCACAGAAGAAAAAACTTCGTCCAGTGGCTTACTAGAAACAAACCTTACACATGAGAAAGATGTTTTTTGTCTTGTCACGAGCGTGGGACAAAGAAAAAAATTCTGAGTCCCCATGAGGAATCGAATCTCAGACTGTCGGATTTCGCGCTCCGTTGCTCTACCACCGAGCTACAGAGACTAAGGTGAGCGTTACGAAGTTCATATATGACACGCGTCCTGCACACTGCTAGGATCAGCGATGTCGATAGCAGCATGTTCGTTAATAAAATACGGAAGATGGTAAGTTTTGAGCTCGGTAAAGAAATAAGGAAAGATGTTCGTCTTGTCCTAAGCATCTTTTTTTCTAACCGAGCCCAAACTTACCATCTTCCTTATTCTAGTTACAAACCTTACATATGTTCGGAAAAAAAGAGAGGAGCGGCTAACAGGGGCAGCGAATAAATAGAAAGACAGAATGCACGTCAAAAAGAGCTAACCTTGGCTGGGGTTTGTCCACAGTATAGGCAGGAATCGGAGGGGGAGCTTCACTTTCACCTCCCTTTCTGACGTTTGCCAAATTCCCGTAGACAGCAAGATTCGGCTGAAAGAAAAAAAATTCACAGTAATGAAATGATTTCAAATTGTTTCTATTGGCTTTTCAAAGAAGTATTACAATTTCATGACACGATAATTCAGTCATAAATATAAAACATAGGTAGGTAAACACCAGAGAGAAATATCAAGCAAATAAATTATCCTCGCACGCGGACTGCAATTTAGCAATTCAGAAAAGAAGCCCGAAAAGGTTTTGACAGGATTCGAGCCCATACTTCCTAGATACGAGTTGGTCGCTACTACCAACTGAGCGAAAATGTGAATAATGGGTAAGTTTCTACACAAACTGTGGTGTTGCGTCGGTGGGGAAATATAACAAGATAATTTTGGTTTTATCAACTGAGTTGGTAATGTAAATTGGCCACCATAAAGAGTTTCAAAGTGAAGTTTGGAGCATTAGCCCTTCGTTCTAACGTCCGCTTTGACACTCT